GTTCACTAAGCTTTCCCATTCAACTTCCCACAAGATTCTTATAACAATTGGTTTTATCATCTAATAATCCTAATTCCTGTCAATTTCCATGAACCTGTCTGGTCCTCTTTTGAAATTCCTTTGGTAGTTTGTTCTACATGCCTATAACCAGTTGACTAAAATCAATTTTCCTGCACATTTCATTATTTTTGTTTTCAACAAAAGCAACAAATTACATTCACTTTGAAGCTATAGTCCATTGTTCTCAAGGTTTCTATACAGGAGAAAAAAAGTCTGCAACCACATTTATTAAATGCTTCATAACTTTTCAAGTCCTGCTCAGACCATCTCCAAGCAACAAAAGTACGAGGGTGGCTTATCTTCTCTCCTGGCTCAGTCACTTAAATTCAGGAATTAATATAGGAACCTTCACTGCACTCGCTCCAATATCTAAAAATATTTTTTGAAATAAGAGACAAAAATTGTACACAATTGTTCAGATGTGGTCTCATCAAAACCACATACAAATTTTAAAACCCCTTTTTTTAAACTTGCATATTACTCTTATCTATACAACTCTTATCTACCCAGCTCAACATTTTGTTTGCTTTCTTAACTACCTGGGAATACAGTGCATGACCTTCCCACTAAATATTCAAGGTTGCTGTCCTTTTATATGTCACAGATTTTCTCCCGATACACATTTCATAATATTTTCATAATTACATTTCTCCATTTTTACATGCCAACTTTCTGCATACATTGCTACATACACTCTTCTGAACTTGTGGACACTGATCTGAGTGCCACTGACTTCCAAATTGGTTTTATTTGCAAATTGGGACATCTTTGGCATGATTCCAGATCCCCAAATCATATAGAATATTTTTTAAAAGTGGTACCAACATCACTAGAGACTAGTTCCTAGCAGATAGCTCTTTATATACTACCACTCAATAACAACAAGATTACATTTGTATAGCGCCTTTCACATCGGGAGGACGTCCCAAGACGCTAAAACTTTTATCAATTAGGTAGTTGATAATGCACTTTAATATGATGCCATCTAACCCACTAGTCTGAATCTTATGCAGTAGTTTATTGTATGAAACAGTGATGAACACCTTCCTCAGATCTAGGTTTTCTGATCTGTTGGAAATGCCTATGGGAATCTTTACAAAAAACAAATATACAACAATACAAAGATAATGCATACTTACTCAAATTTATAAGATCATAAATTAATAATAATAATAATCATCCTTGCATTTGATATAGCGCTTTTCACGTCGGGAGGACGTCCCAAAGCGCTTCACAGAACACTGTAAAGTGAATTGACTGTATATTTGTGGGCGAACGCGGCAGCCATTTGCGCACAGCAATGTCCCACAAACAGTCGTAGATTGAAAATGACCAATTTATTATTGTTTTTGGTTTTTGGAGGGATTATTGGAAGGAGTAAGGAAACTTGCCCAAGGTTTCGCCCTGCCTGGAATTGAACTCAGGTCTCTCGCTTGCAAAGCGAGTGCTCTAACCATTGAGCTACAGGACTCCACAATTGAGCTACAGGACTCCACATTAGTCTAACTTTTTTTAAACTACAAGTCACAATTACATCCATTTCAATATTTGATTAAACATGTGCACTTATTTTCATAGATAACAATATATCTAGTGTTTGTTTAAAAATCCAATTTGTTTAGATTTCATTGTGATTATTGTTTAATCAAGAGAATATCATCAATCAGCTTCAAGTGCCCATATAATCCATTTAGACAGGAATTATTACAAAAAAAACGTTTTTTCTGCTAAGTGTACTTGGGACATTAAGTAAAGGTTCTTAGGTTACAAAAAACAGTCTTGAACTGTCGGAAGAAGGTGGAGGTACAGGACAGATGGACCAGGGAATTCTAAATATGAAAACACAGACTAGTGGAAAAACAGATGGATAAGATTAATGGCTGAAACCTGAGTGGCTTGTCTTGTAACCTGTGGTCAGTACAGATATCATGTAGTGCTTTATTTAAGCATAGGGGCATAGGTTCATAACCAGAAGGGAACACAGAAGCACTTTGCACTTAACAAAAACAATTAACCACAGCTGATAAAAGGTGCAATGCACTTGCATTTTAACTAAATAGATATGGAATTTTTGCAAATTAAATACTGCTTCTAGAAGTCATCAATCTAAAGCCTTGTATTTCACAATCAACATTTCCAAAAATAAAGATATTTTGTATGAACTTAAGTGAGAAATTCCACATTTAGATTTCATGGGGAGAGAAAATTAAAGTTACACCACTCTGTGTAATTTAAAAACTATGTGGTATGAAAAGAAATCAATGGCAAATCAGTAAATGGTAAGACTAAGCAAGTACAGACCACTTTGAATTCAAAGCTGTGAACCCAGACAGTGCAATAAAGTCTTATCACTAAGATACTGAAGTGTCATAAAATATTAACCAAATAATGGAAGCTCTTGTGCTTTATTTAGAATCTGGATTTATGGCATCAACTTTGACTTTTGGTTTGCAAGTATCAGTTTGTAAAATTGTGGCTAAATAAAAGTATGAAAACAGGCTAGTAAGCAAAACAATGGCGGGAAACGGTACTATTTTTCAGATGTTACAAACTACCATGGAGCCTGATAAGGGGGAAGACACGAGCTGCAGAATTCTAGATGATCTGCAGCTTGTGTAGGGAAGAGTTGGGAAGACTGTCAAGCAGGGAGTTGGTGTAGTCGAGCCGAGATGTAATCAATGCATGGATGAGGGTTTCAGCAACCTGAGGGGTGAGGTAGTGGCAGAGCTGGGCGATGTCGAGGTGCGGAAAGGCAGACCGAGTCATGGCACCGATGTGGGATAGAAATGACAGTTAAGTGTCAAACAAGACGCCACGTTTCCGGACTGGGTTGGTAAGGTGTAATGTGCATCCCTGGATGGTGATGCTGTCAGCGGCTGAGGTGTGGAGGCGCTGACGGGAGCGAATTAGGAGAGCCTCGGTCTTGTTGACATTCAACTGGAGAAAGTTAGCTCCTATCCAGTACTTGATGTCTGACACACATTCTGTCAGGACAGCAGTGGTCCTGGAGTCGAGGATGGAGGCAGAGAGATAGAGTTGGATGTCATCCACGTACATGTAGAAGTTGACCCCGTGTCTGCGGATGGTTTCACCAAGAGAGATGGGAACATGTAGATATTGAAGGAGAGGACGAAGGACAGAGCCCTGCGGAACACTGCATGAGACGGTGCGGGGGCTGGAGGAGAAGTGAAGACGATGCGAAAGGTAGGATTTGAATCAGTCAAGGACAGAATCATGAAGGTTGATGTGGAGGAGGAAAAAATGGTCAACGGTGTCAAAGTCAAGAGAGTGCAAGGAGGATAAAGAAATGTCATTTGTCACTTTGACCAAGGCTGTTTCTGTGCTGTGAGCAGCACGGAAACTTGATTGGAGGGATTCATAGAGGGAGTGGCGGGAGAGGAAGGAGCAGGAAAGGGAGGTTGGAGATGGGGCAGTAGTTTGAGAGCAGGGATGGGTCCAGGGAAAATTTTTGAGGATAGGGGTGATGATAGCTGGTTTTAAGGGGGTGGGAATGGTGCCAGTGAACAAGGAGATATTGATGATGTCCGTGAGTAGAAGGGCAAGAAGGTGGAGCTGGGAGGTGAAAAGAAGGGTAGGGGTGGAGTCAAGGGAGCAGGTGGTGGGTTTCATATGGGTTATGATGCTGATGAGAGAGGAGGAAACAGGTTTGAAGGTGTGGAGGGGGAATTGGGTAGGTGCCAGAGTGTAAGAGGGAGATGGGGATGGGGCAGCAGTTGCAAGGGCAGAGGCGGCTGAATGGATCCCCTTGATTTTGGTCTCGAGGAAGTCCAGCGTCTCCTCGCAGTTGGAGTAGAGGATGGGCGAGGCGTGAGAGGGTGGGCGGAGGAGCCGGTTGGTGGTGGAGAAAAGGAGCCTGATGTTGTCTTTGGCCTCCAAGATTGTCTTGGAATAGAAGGACGATTTAGCAGAGGTGAGGGCGGAGGGTTAAGTTTTAATGTAGTCCAGCTAGATCTGCTGATGGACCGTTAAATTAGATTTGACCAGTTAGTTACAGGTTATTATCTTGAAGCTCATTGCCTTGACCTGCCAGTTACGGGCTATCTTGAAGCAGCATTGCCCTGACCAGCGAGTTACAGATTATTATCTTGAAACACCCTAACCAGCCAGTTACAAGCGATTGAGGCTATTATCTTGAAGCGCCATGACCTAACAGGCTGGTTCAGGTTATTATCTTGAAGGCAGTATTGCCCTGTCCGGCTAGTTTTGGGGTATTATCTTGTAGTGCCATGACCCTGAACAGCTAGTTACACGTTATGACACAGAGCAGTTGTCCGTCTGCACCCAAGATGCCCACCAGCCCGGCTGCACCTGCTCCCACACGCGGTCTGACCCTCGCCTTATTTGCCCTTGATCCTGAAGCTAAGAAGGAGGAGTCAGACGCATAAATCGTCACTCGCTTTTGTTTGTGGAACGTGATTTATATATTATTATCGCTGTTGTCTTCCGCCCCCCCACCCCCCCAAGGAAGAGCGGTGCTCTAATCCGGGAGCGGGCAGTGCGGTGCTGGGGGCCGGAAATGGTCCACCCGCAATGCGGCGAGATAGGGGCGGGCGGGTGCACGGCCAACCGGGGGACGTGTTTGTGTTGTGCTACGCGTGGAAAAAAAACCCCACCTTTAATAATAATAATAATAATAATAATAATAATGATGATCCTTGCATTTGACAAGAGCGACAACTTTGGGGCGGGTGCCTTAATCTTTACAAATAAACCTCACGTACAAAACGTCTCCTTAAAGACCTTTATTGGCTTCAAATGCACTGAACTCAATTATTTATTTGATGGGGAATGGGGGGCTACGAGCGTAGTATAGTTTATGGCAAACCCTGACCCCTTGCTCTTGCCCCACAGGGTTTCACTGCACTGCCCCCCACCCCCCGCCCGCCCGCCATGGTACAGGTAGTAACAAACAGGCCCACCTCTTGCAGGGGAAGTGCCCCTTCTGCTCCTCCAGCGCCCGCACTCGCCGGCTCTTGGCATCGTACGAGAGCAGGAGGCGGCTGTTCCTGCCCGTGTTGTGGTCGTACACCACGGCCCTGCCTTCCCACTGCTCGGGGGCCAGGCACGGCACGGGCTGCGAGGCGAGGCCCGGGCTGGGGCCCAGGACCGGCTGCGGCGGGGACGCGCCGCCGGGGGTGGCCAGGCAGAGGAGCAGCAGGAGGCGGGGGGCGGAGAGCGACCGTGACTGCATGATGGCGGCGGCGGCGGTTGACGGTTGGGTCCGTTGCGTTTCAAAAAAAACACGTTCCACTGCTCGCCGTCCCTCTCGTGTGACGGGCGGGTCACGTGGGCCACAGTGACCCCCGGGCCTCACCCACACACACAGCAGCGGCGGCTGCAGCGGTTTTGCCCACAGACTTGCACTCACTCCGCTTTGTAGCCCAAAGTCCGCCCAACACCCGCCCCACACAGTAGCCCAACATCACGCGCGGTCCGTCTCCCAGTTCGGCTTTCAGTGCTTTTTCGGACCGCGCTGAGAAAAGGAGGGAACGTGCACTTGGCTTAAAATGCTACGTTTTTTTTTAACTTCAAATCTGTTTACGAAATAAATAAATACACACACACACACACACACATACATACACACATACATTAAATCGGGCACACGCCCGAAAAGCGCTGCCCGCGCTACCGCAACAAAAAAAGCGCCCGAATTGGCCGCGGACCCGCCCCAAAATCCGCCCACATCTGCGCTGCGGGGGGTGGGGGGGGGAGGGCAGGAGCGCTGCTCGCAGTGTTGCTCCGTTGGGTGTGTGTGTATGTGTGTGTGTGTGTTTTTTTGCTGAACTGTGCTTTGGGTGGGTGCCTGATTTATGCATTTTTGATTTAAACCTGCGAAACCCGTTTTTTTTTCTCTCTCTCTCTCCCTCTCTCTCTCTCTCCTTTGAAGACCTTTTCTTACCCAGTTTCAAAAGCACCAAAACCTGGATCGGCCACTTCGGGAGGAGGCAACGCTTTGGGCTGTGGTGTTTGGTTGACTTTGGGCTGCAAATGCATTTTAATTTGTGGACACCCTGACCACACACACACACACACCCTGCACGTAGGGTGCAAAGTATGGGAATTCGGGGGGGGGTTGGGGTGCAATCGACCCACTGCCTCCTTTTTTGCTTTAAAAAACACGAGCTTTATCCCAAGGTTATTTATTTTAAGACTTGTGATTAATATTTTTTTTGGAAACACCATTGCCCTCACAAGCTAGTTCTGCCTAGAGGTTTGCACAGATGCATTCCACTGGATGCTGAGCACATATGGACTGAGGGTCGAGGATGTAATATATGTGGCGTGTTTGGAAAATGCGCGCATGTTACAAGATGTTGAGTCTCTTGATGTTACACATGCACATAGGTCCAAAAGATGCTTATGTACATAGATCAAGCAAAATAAACAGTCACTACACTATGTGGAATTGCTTAGAGAAACTCTCCCAACCTGAAAGGCTCTCCCATCAAATAAAGGGATTATTTATTATTTAAAGTCATGTCATGTGAATCACTTTGAGACATCCTCCTGTTGTGAAAGGCACTATATCAAATGCAGGGATTATTATTAACAGATTGTGTTCCAAAAATGCTCACATATCACACAATGTCGAGGCATTAAGTGTGCACATAACCTCAGATACACATACGTAGACAGATGGCGTATGTATTCGATATCTATCTGTATCCATTGTGTAATATGTTGACACAGATATAAATTTAATGTTTATAGTTTGCATTAAAAATCCAAGTGCTGTATAGAGAGGTGTAAAATAAATTGTCTGATATGCAGATTTTGCATATACTGTATTATTCTTTCTGCAAAAATGCTTTCATATAATTGATATTCAGTGTATGTAAAACAATGTGTCCATATTATGTAATATACACATACAAAATTTAAAGCCATAAGTTATTTTAAAATCCTACAAGTACAAAATTGGTGTTTTCGTTGACCTCAGACCTACCTATCACTTAAATGAAAGAATGCACATCCTAATCCAGGCACAGGAAAATTGGTTTGGATTCTCTTAAACATGATAATTGGATTTTCCTATGTGTCAGATCCCTAGCTGACCAAAACAACACTTACAATATTTCAGTTTGTTAGTTTGGTTGACTGTTCCATGAATGTGTTGGTAGCTGGTGGGTGGGTCTGCCAAATCTCTCAGAAAAAAATGTAACACAATTACATATAAACAGATAATGTAGAGAAACCTCTGTAGAAAAAAACCATAGTCATCGGAAGTCAGGCCTTCAGCCTCTCTGCCCCCACCCTCTGGTACCCCATCCCACATACCCTTCGCCTCACTCCCTCCCTTGCCTCCTTCAACGCACACCTCAAGACCCTCCTCTTTGACCGTGCCTTTGGCCACCCTCTCTGCCCTCCACTGTCCCTGATTCCGACCCCTGACCCCACCCCACCCCCAGCTCGGGTCCTAATCCCTGACTGTTCAGCGCCTTGGGATGTCCTCCCGATGTGAAAGGCGCTTTACAAATGTAATTTTTTATTGTATACAGTCAACCTGAAGGGATGTTCCCTTTGCAAGTCACATATGAAAAGAAAAAAACCTGTTCACTGTAACATGTATTTTTAAAATATTTCTATTGTTGATTTGTTTGAGTTGATGGTCCTTAATGCTGTTTTCTATCAAAACACCTCATAACTTTAAAGATCTCCATCAAGGCACCCCTCAACCTTTTTTGTTCCAATGGAAAAATACCAGTTCCACCAGTCTCTACTGATAGGGCAAACTACTTATCCACGGTACCATCCTTGTAAATTTCTGCACCCCATTTGTCTTGATGAACCCTTCAGGCAAAACCCTCATCCACGTCTTTGTCACTTCCCAACTGGACTATTCCAATGCCCTCCTTGGTGATCTCTCCAGCTCCACCGTACACAAAATACAATGAATTCAAAACTCAGCCGCCCAGATACCCACTGGCACAAAACTCCGTACCCCCATCACACCAGTCCTTGTCCATTTCCATTGGCTCCCAATTACTGAACAAATCAAATTCAAGATCCTCTCACTCGTTTCAAATCCCTTCATGCCCACTCACCACCCTACCTATCCAACCTGTTTACCCTCATCTTCACCACGCTCTACATCTGCTCGGCTGGCTCCGGCCTCCTATTTGTCCCTCATCCCCTCTGCTCCACCATTGCGTGCCTTCAACCACTAAGCCCCGAAACTCTGAAATTCTCTCTCTTTATCTCCTCCCCCTTGTCCCATTCCTCTCCACATTCAAATGCCGCCTAAAGACCTTTTTTTTAATTGTGCTTACGGTCACCTCGCCCCTCACTCTCCGCCTGCCACGTTGTCAGATTCCCAACTGGACTGGGAATGTCAAGCGCTCTGGGATGTTACCCTGCGTGAAGAGCACTATATAAATTCATGTTGTTGTTGATATCCTTCCTAAAGTGGGATGACTAAAGCTAGACATAATGTTCTAACTACAGTCTAACTAACAATTTATATAAGTTTAGCATTACCTCACAAAACCTAGGATTCCATTTGCCATTTTTAATCGATTCAGCCTGATTAATATATGCTATTGGTACTAATTTAAGTGGCAATTACGACAAAGAAGCATTCCACACAGAAATTGAGCATTCAGGTCATTATATCAGTGCCATTGTCAGCTATCTTTCTAGATCACCCCTTGACTTCAATCACTTTGGTAAAATGTCATTTTGCAAAAACACAATGACATGTGTTACAGAGCAAACTAGAGCACAATCAATGTTTGAGTACATTGCACCAAGAAAATCTGTAATGCCTACTGCTGTTTTGCCCACAAAATATAGACACTCCGCTCGACGATATATCCTGTGAAGAGCTTTGAGAAGTCTCAATGATGTGGTAAGTCGTCATATCAAAAGCAAGGATTATTATTACTAGTAGTGCTTTGTTACTTCTTCCTTTTCTGAAAATGTTAAATTGTGATTGCCTTTGTAATAGTGCTTCAAAATCCTTAAAAGGGGTTCATTCAAATAAAATAAACATGGGCAACGTTATTTTATTTTATTGCATATTTGAAGCACTGTTATTAGGTTTATGAGATCTATCTATTGATGTCTTAGATATTATCCTTGGAGCAGATTCTGAATTGCTTCATCAGTACAAATTTCCCTATAAATTTTGGTAACTTGGTATAAAACAGTGCACACATTCCAAATGAAACATCTATCAAAGTATTATTCAAATTAAAACTTCAGGAACCAAGTCGGAATCATTATGACTGACCCAATTGCATTTCAGAGTAAAAGTACAATTGCATTTCAGAGTAAAAGTACAATTGGTCGAATTTGTGATTGACGCCCTTCAGGGACATTGGGCCAACGTTGTCCAAATAACCGGGTATCCAAACGTCGCAGACAACGTGAAAGTAGTTGCTGACCGTTGCTTGTAGCTGTTCTGCATTGATGCATCATTCATGCAACTCACTGAACAAAATTCTGACCTAACTTCGGCACTTTGCTGCCTTTCAGCGGTAACCGTCCAATTTCCTTTTGCGTGCCCTGTTATATTGTCCCTCACTATGGCGAGCGCTGTTGCCCCACATCTCTCAAAACCGGGTTTAATGTTTAACTGAACTATTCTGTTTCGAACCATTCAGCAACAGTCTGCAACGATCTCTCTCTCTCTCTCTCTCTGGCTGAACCCCTGTAGATGTGTTGTCTTTCATTCTGATCCTCCGTGTTTGGAAGCTGCAGATCTTTGCTCTCAACAAAGGATCCTTCACGTATTAGAGGGGTGGTGGGGCGCTAAAAAGACCATTTAACATTTGATCCACTTTATCCATCCCAGGTTAAGGGAAAAGAAACAGTAAAATCCAGTTAGCCCCCTTCTGGCGATGGTATGAAATAACAGAACGAGCAACAGATCTACAGCAACGAACAAACATACTGCCCACGTTTTATCCAAACTTTAAGACGATGCAATGAACAAATATGTATCTAAACTTTAAGACGAAACAATCACGAAAGCACCTACACCATTCGGTAAGCGTTCCCTCTTTGATCAGGGTTATGCTGCAAAAAAAAACAACTCCAGAGCAGGGCAGAGCTGGTAGATCTTTTTGCAAAAAAAAAATCATTGACTCAAAAGTGGGTGAAACGAGGACGAGGTGAATGCGATATGAGATTTAAAAGCGGATGGGAATGAGGTCACTGTAAAAAAAACAAAAACCCAAAGGACGGGGTGGCCAAGAAAATAAATATAAAAGAGAGCGGGACCCAGTCTGCCGTTGTGGGGTGTTTTATTGCCCGTTAAATCACGACCTGCGATGGCCACAGGCGCTGCCGCTGCTGCTGCCGCGTCAATGTGATTGGCAGCGGATTGCTCCAGATCGCCTCCTCTCACTATCATCAACTCGCTCCTTCCTCAGCCCATAATTGGTCGCTTTGCAAAGCAAAGCAACGGAATAGTCATCTCCACCCACGGTGATTTGCTCCCCCCACCCACCACCCCCCCCCCCCCCACCCCCCCACCCACCACCACCCCCCACCCCCCCCCCCAAAAAAAAATACTTTGATATAAAAAGGTGTGTGTACAGTATATATAGTGTGGCAGACCTGGCGATCTGCTGAGCACTTGCAAGATGTTGCCAGTGATTGCCGCCGTCTGCTTGTGGCTGGCTCCAGGCGGCTCGGTGCTGGGGGCACCCTGCGAGCGGGTCAGGATCCCGATGTGCAGGGCAATGCCCTGGAATATCACCAGGATGCCCAACCATCTCCATCACAGCACGCAGGAAAATGCCATCCTCGCCATAGAACAGTACGAGGAACTAGTAGGGACCAACTGCAGCCCACTGCTCCGCTTCTTTCTCTGTGCCATGTACGCTCCGATCTGCACCCTTGAGTTCCTGCACGACCCCATCAAGCCCTGTAAGTCGGTTTGCCAGAGGGCAAAAGAGGGTTGCGAACCGATTATGAGAAAGTACAACCATAACTGGCCGGAGAGCCTGGCGTGCGACGACTTACCTGTGTACGATCGAGGCGTCTGCATCTCCCCCGAGGCAATTGTGACTGATTTACCCGAAGGTGAGGATTAGATTATTATTTTGGTTCAGTTAATCCGAGGGGTGTTTGAAGCGAGATACTGTGATTGGCACAGTATGAGGGGAGAAATCGTCCCGTCACAGAAAGAGACCATCACTTAATAACACGCAGGCAATGAGCCACGCTGTGTTTTAAAGCGAAAACTTCTTTCGACCCAGATTGCAGCCGTGCAAAATACAAATTAAATCGAGTGCATTCGATCCCATTCATACCATTTGGGTTTCATTCATTCATTCGATTCTCCCCCTCTTTCTCACGCTGCGGGGTTGTGCCGGTTATTTTCTGATCCATTTCTTTTAGGATCATCGTGTAGCCGCGACTTGCTTGAAACGATGTATGTTATTTGAAAGTAAGATCGGCGTGGCCCTGAGCTGGTTGGGAACTGCACGTATTGTTGCATTATTTATGCTATTATGCAAAAAAAAAAGAGAGTTTATTTTCTTAAAAGCTAACACGACCTTATGATCGTGCTCAAAAGTTCCAGATGCCAAGTGGACGGATTTCACACGCGATATGGTTGTGATGGAAGCATCTGACTGCAAGAGCTGGAATTCAGGTGAGCAGTGCAAGAAAGCAAGAGAGTACCTGTCTTTAGATGTTCCCTAAATGTCTCCTCGCCTCTTCCTTAGTCAATATCATTTCATATCATTTAATCTTGATGTCTGCCCGTTATCTGGGGAAGGTGCACACGATGTTGCTGCCTCTTTTTTCCTGTTTCGCACAAACAACCCCAAAAAGACGAACATGATTTTATCCACTGATCCTGCGATCAGCTTTCAATTGGCCTTTCATTATCTCCGTGAGAAAAACTCGGGCAACTTGATAGCAGAAGCTGGGAGATGGCAGAGTGGGAAATCGGACGTGGGTGGTGGTGGTGGTGGTGGTGGGGGATTGTAGCATAAGATATTGTCCAACGAGTAGGATGCGGTGGATGTAACATTTCAAAAGACACGGGATATCTGCTTCCGACTGAATACAAAGCAATCGAGATAGAAACATGTATCAAGACATGTATCAGTTACTGCGGGCGGAATCATGGAATAATGCCCAGACCTTGGTGAATCCACTCCCTCCTTTTATTCATTGTAATTTTAACGTGCATTGAACATCTTATTACTTCTTTTGTAATACGAAACTAAGTTGCATACATCTGGGAGCTCGGGTGAGTTGTATTCAGTGTGAATCGTTTTCTAATATTTGGTGATTGTTAATTGCCTTTTTGCAGTTTGTTTCATTTTGTCAGTGTTTAAAACTGCCATCGGTGGGAAATCATCTTTCCCTGGTTCCTTGAAAGAAAATGAGAAGGAAGTCGGTGCTGTTTTTTATGCCCCTTGCACTAGAATCTAAAGGTTTATCCTATATTTTGGCAGATCGTTGTAAATGCAAAACAACTAAGCCGATGTTGAAAACTTACTTGGAAAAAAAATACAACTATGGTAAGTGATAATGATTACCCAGTGTCATGTAATGTTTGATTGTCAAATTGAAGACACGTATGTTTGGTTAAAAAATTAAATGCTGAAAAAAAATGAAACTGTTGGCCTCTCTGTCTTATAAGAGTGACAAACGTTGTCTATTACAGTATAATACTCAACATTGGATGTGCAAACTAGAAATTTGACACCGCGTGGGCCTTTTCTGCACCAGGCTCCCAGTACCCAAGCAAAACAACTTTAAGATCTTTGTCCTGTCATTATCTCCTTTCTATGTTTGAATGGTCTGCGGCCCTATTCTTCTGCCTGTATCTTCCACTTATTTGTTCCTCACTCCTCCCATTCCATCATTTGATGGCCAAACCTTCAAGACACTAATCCCCTGCCCTCCAGAATTGTATTCCATAATCTCTTTGCCTTACTTTCTTTCTCCTTGTTTTCAAAAACGCTCCTCAAAACCCATCTTTTTGACCGTGCTTTCAGTGGACATCCTTAATATACATTTTTGGAGTTGAATTAGGTCCCAAACTAATAGAATAACATTTTCTGTCCTGGCTGTTAAGGTGCTCTGTGCTAGTTGTCGCGCTATATAAATGCAAGTTGTTGTTGGTGGTGTAAGTTCCTACATTGACATAATTTCAGGCGGTCTTTACCTCATTCCTCCCATTTGCAAATCTACAGTTGAAAATGGTTCTAAATTTGGCGCCTATATATAAGATTGTAATTATTTGACAACCTCGCTCAGAGAGATCACAAGGATCTGGATTGGGAGGAGTGATGGCGGGTATGGTAGGAGTTCGATGCAAAGCTCCTGCTACTCTGCTCAGGTGCCTTTACTACAACTTGAGTGAAAAAACATGTCTTAGATTTCCCCCTCTAGTGGTCAGGCACGTCACAAAAGTAGAGTCAAAAGTTATTTTGAATTACGCAGGCATAACGTATTCTACATTTGTAAAAAAAATGTCCTGGAAATTGTTTAGAGAAATCATAAAACAACGTTTATCATCAAAAAATCATGTAATAGCCTCTTTTCCAATTCCAGGCTTTATCTGAGTCCCAAAAGACAGCCATTACACATTTCTGCTGTAATCCTGCCTCGACTTTTCAAATTCTCGCCGGTCTGCTAAGTTCCACAAGCCACAAAATCCAGCTGATCCAAAACTCCGTCGCCCACATACTCACCCGTACTAAACTCCATACCCCTATCACACCAGTTCTAGCCAGACTACACTGGCTCCCCTTTCACAGAACGGATTCATTTCAAAATCCTCACACTCATTTTCAAAATCCTTTCATGCCCTGGCATCTCCCTATTTCTCCGACCTGCTTACTCCCCAACCCACTATCCGCTGCCTCCGCTTGACTGCCTCCGGCCTTCTGTATGTCCCTCGTGCCCTCTGTTCCACCATTAGTAACGTTTTCATGCACCGAAACTCTGGAACACTCTTCCTCTATCCGTCTGCCTTGCCCTTTCCTTTCCCATCTTCAGATCATGCCTGAACAGTTTCATCTTCAACCGTGCTTACGGTTACCTCCCCCCTCCCCCTGGCTCGGCATCGTGCTCTGCCACTGTCAAGCACACTGGGACGCTACCCTGTGTGAGAGGTGCTATATAAATGCAAGTTGTTATTGTTGTGGAGGCCTGAAAGTCACAGAGAAACATCCACTTGCACAAAGCGAAGAATTATACAGTATTTAAGCCCCCACTTTTAAACCATTCCTAAAGACTTAGAGTAATTATTGCCAAAAAGAATCCTCCTCTCCACCCACATACAATTAAAAAAAAGTATTTGTGTCTCTCTCAATGTAAAAAATCATCCACACCTCTCCCTTACCTGAGCACCACTCTCCTGCTTCCTATCACTTTCTCATCCCCAGATACTAATTTTTAAAAAAATGATAATAATAAGTTGGTCACTCAATCTAAAGGCGCTATATCAAATGCAAGGATTATTACTATCAGGAGATCTAACAAGAAACGCATGGTATCAGGCAATCAGGCAAACTAGCTCCACTGATATCAGCAATGTTTCTTGTAAACTGTTTACATGTGCACCATGCAGGACGTGGTACCAGCGCCTGTCATTTTTAAGAGCAATGCACATACAATTTACATTCAAAGAGCATCTTTCACATTGGGAGGCTGTCTCAAAGTCCTTAACAATAATAATAGTAATAATCCTTGCATTTGATATAGCACCTTATCACGTCTTCCAGATGTCTCAAAGAGTTTCACAGTGAACTAACTGACTGTATATTTTGTGGATGGAATGCGGCAGTCAATTACACACAGCAGAGTACCACAACCAGTCGTGGATTGAATGACCAAATTATTATTATTTAAAATTTTTTTTGAAGGGATTATTACCCTTGGAAAACCAATCCCCCAATCAACTAACAACTGGGTTCCTACTTACTGCTAAGCAGAAGCGAGTTAGGAAACTTCCCTAACGTTTTTCCCCTCCTGGGATTGAACCCAGGTCCTCTCGCTTGCGAGGCAAGTGCTCTAACCACTAAGCTACAGAACTGCACAACGCTGGTAAGGCACACGAACTGGGAGTGGGAGCCAAAGTGAATGGCAGCCAAGGGGGTGGGAGGGGAAAGGTGACTGAAAACTCGATAAAACAGGTACATTTTGAGATGTGTCTTGAATTAGGGGAGGGAGAGAGCAAGGTAGAATGGCTGGAAGCCTGCTTGCTGGTGATGGGGAGATTACGGAGAAACAGGCCAGTTATCGCTGAGTGAAGGGAATGGCTGGATCATTGCAACAGGTAGACGGGATAGGGAAAGAGAGGAGGAAATTAACAGGTAGTGAAGGAAAGGCAAAAAAGCACACAGAGAGGAACAAAAGACAGAGACTAATTCACAGACAAAATAGAGTTATTCTCGTTGTCAACAGTTTGTTTCTGGAGACGTTTATTACAGGTAAACTTCTTTACTATTACTCATCCTGGAATGGACCACTTCACCAGTATTAGATAATGCCAGCTGCAGATAAAGCAGTTTATTACTTTCACAGACATTTCTCAAGGTGAAATACACAATTGAAATCTTAAGAACAACAATATTACACCACCCAGCTGCTTCTCCTTTAACAGAAGGATGATAGGAATGCCTTTCTTTCTTCGAGAGGGCTTTAGACTTTACCCTCTTTTTAATCTTCACTTCAGTTATCCGGGCCAGAGTAAAAGATGTGAGCAGAAGTGGCTGCAATGAAATCACTAACGTGGTGGAGGTGAAGGAGACTCTTAAGTCATTGAGACCCATTCCACATGCTCATGTGGCCCTTGTCACAAACTCCTCATGTTCGTGCCCACAGCTTCCACTCAACCAGGAGCTGCTCATCATGTGCTATGAGCTCCACTCACGGTAAGTACTGCGTCACTTTTTCATCTCGCTTCACACTCATTTAATTCAGCAGGTTTGACAGCCAGCACTAAATTAACATCTTTGGAACTGACTCTTTGAGGTCTTTGCTAGCAGGTGGGTTCCTAATTCAAGTACAAACCTCAGTCAGTCTAAAGAACTAAGATGTGGTCATTAGATGCACATTTCTGCCTGGTTCATATGGTGAAACACTTAGCTCCGAGTCAAAAGGTTGTGGGTACAAGCCCCTTAACGGGACTTGGAACTGACATGTCCAGTATCACATTGCTGGAGGTGTTGTTCTTCGTATGAAATGTTAAGCCAAGGCCCGTCTGCCTGTTCAGTAGATGCTAAAGAATTTATGGCACTGTTTGAAAAGAGAAGGAAGTTTCTCCTGTTGTCCTGTCAAAGAATCTCTCAAAAGAAATGGTCATTTACTTTATGGCTGTTTGTGGGACATTGCTATGTGAAAATTAGCCTCTGTGTTTGCCTATAAAATACAGTCATTACAGTTTCCAGTATATCTTGTGAAGTGCTTTGAAATGACCTACCAACATGAAAGGCACTATATCAAATGTAAGGATTATTATTAATAATAATAACTATGGATCCCTTTGATACAATTGTAGAGGTTTTGATTCTATGGGCAGAATAACATTAGAAGGTGCTGCAAAATAATGGTATGACAGGAATTAAGACATGTACTTGCATGCAGTGGTATGCTTATTTTGCCTTTAAACTTAATCTTGATTCAGTACTTCAAATCATGAGTCACTGCAGAGGATATTTAACTTTGAAGCTTTTTTTTTAACGTTCGTAAATAACTTATAAATTTGGTTTCAAAGTAAAGGAATTTGCCAAATTGTGGATCCTCTGAAAGGCTAGAGAATAAATCTAGCTCCAGGTGGAATTCCTCCTCATTTGTCTGATAATTCAGTGCTGTGCTGGGAGCACTGTCAGAGGTGCAGTGCTTTGAATGAGTTATTAAAACATCTGATAAAAACATGGGGTCAACTTCCACATGTATGCGGATGACACCTAACTCTACCGCTTTGCCTCCACCTTGACTCCAGGACAACTGCTATCCTGACTGAATGTCTGTCAGACATCAAGTCCTGGATGAGAGCTAACTTTCTTCAGTTGAACGTCAACAAGACCGAGGCTCTCCTGATTGGCTCCCGTCAGCGCCTCCTCACCTCAGGCTCTGACAGCATCACCATCCATGGTTGCACACTCTGCCTTGCTAAGCCAGTCCGGAACTTTGGGGTCTTGTTTGACCTTCTACTATCTTCTCTACCCCACATATGTGCCATGACCCGCTCTGCCTTCTCCCACCTCCGCAATGTCATCCGGCTCTGCCACTGTCTCATGCCGCAGGCTGCCGAAACCCTCATACATGCCTTCTCGGCCTTCCCAACTCTTCCCTCCACAGGCTGCAGATCATCCAGAACTCTGCAGTCTTGGTCCTCTCCCGCACTAGGCTCTGCGACTCTATCACCTCCATCCTTGCCTAACTCCACTGGCTTCCCATCACACTTAGGATACAATTCAAGATCCTGGTCATCACCTTCAAAGTCCTCCACCGTTTTGCTCCCCCTACCTCTGCGAACTCCTAACCCCCTACCATCCTGCTCACTCCCTCCGCTCAGTGGGCTCCGGCCTGCTTCAGGTCCCCCGCGTCGCTCCCCCACCATTGGCAGGCAGACCTTCCACCACTCTGCCCCCACCCTCTGGAATTCCATCCTGCAATCCCTCTGTCTCACCCTGTCCCTTGCCACCTTCCAGACCCATCTCAAGACCCTCTTCTTTCCCCCTTTTTTCGATCTCCCTGTTTCCCTCCCTGCCCTCCACCCTCACCGGCCCCCTGCTCGGGTCCCTAACTCTGTCTGTCCAGCGCCTTGGGACATCCTCCCGACGTGAAAGGCTTTTTACAAATGTAATTTTGTTGTTGTTTTTGTTGATACTGATGTGTCTCAGCTGGCTCAATTAATTCCAAGTTCCTCCATGGGCTTTAAGACCCATGGAGGAACTTGGAACCCATTTCATCTATGATGATACTCCAGTGCAGTGCTGGGAGTGTGCTGCATTGTTAGAGGTCTGTCCTTTGGATGGGATATTAAACTGAGGCTCCATCTGTCTGTCCAGGTGGACATTCAAGATCCCTTGATATGTTTGTGAAAGTATCTATCCACTGAACAGCAAATAAAGTTAAAAGATACCATCAGATGGGTTCAAGCAATAATTCTTCAATATTAAATCCTTGGAACAGGTTTAGTAGAGCAATGGTTCGTTTGGAGCTGGATCCGTTAACACTTAGAAGTGATTCAGACAAAGGATAGACATTCTGTCATAAGTGAATAATACCAAAAACATGTACTGGTTGTCTGGGTTTATACACTGTGCTTTTAAATACTTTGGAATTTGTATTTAACCTATTAACCTTAGACAAACGGATCATCTATTTAGTGAAATTAAATTAAAACCAGTGGTTAATTTAGGTTGGAGCAGCTTGCTTTTATTAGAGTGGGTTTTCAGTTGATTCAATGCTATTTGCATAACATTGTTGTGACTTTATTTTTCCTTTGTAAAAATATTTGAAGCATGTTGAAAAATGCTTGCTGCATAATAGATCCCGGACTGGAGGTGATAATTTGTGAACATGATGAAGACAGTACTTAAATAATATTTTAACATTCTTTACTTTTGTCACAATATGTGTTAGCCTGGCTCAGTTGGAAGCACTCTCACTTCTGAGTCAGAAAGTTCTGGGTTCAAGCCCCCATTGAGACTTGAACTCATATGATGACTAAGATGACACTCCAATGCAGTGCTGGGGTGTGTTGGATTGTCGGAGATGTGAAACTGAATTTCCATCTGCCTGTTCAGGTAGATGTTAAAGATCCCATGGCTGTATTCGAAAAGAGAAGGGAGTTTCTGCTGGTGTCCTGGCCAATAATCCCCCAAAATAAAATTGGTCACTCACTCTTTTATTTGTTAAACATTGCTGAGTGTAACTGGCTGCCGCATTTTGCTAAAAAAAGACAGTCAATTTACTTTACAGCTTATTCTGTGAAGAGCTTTGCGATATCTCAACGATGTGATTAGGTTTTCTGTGGTTTTATTTTTTGGTCAGCCAGGTGTCTGACACATGGAGAAACCCATCACCTGCTTAAGAGTATCCAAACCAAGCTGAGATTTCCTTGCATCCCACCTACACATGGAAATTCCAGAGATAGATTTTTGGAATGGAATGCTTAGTCCCTCCACTCTCTGGAGGAATGCATCCAACTTACCTAATTCTGGAAAGTATTAGGTACAGGTTAGTAAGAGCCAAGCCTTGGGGACCACAAAGTGTGCATTAGGGTACTGCTGGAGTCTAACCAGCTAAAACCACCTAACTTGCCATTGATATTGCTGTCCGGCAAGCTTTCCCACTGCTTGTCCAACTAGGACCGCTCTACCCATTAGGGCTTTGGCTTGCAGGATGAACAGGAGCTGAGTGCGATGACTGCCTATCCCCAGTGACTGGTCTGCCCTTCCAGGTCCTGCCGATGAGCCATCAGCAGTGCCCTGGAATACTGTGGACCTGCCTGGTTCAGGAACTGGACTACCAAGACCACCACAGAGGGCTGTCTCAATTCCGAGCCAGTTCAGCTCCAAGGAGACCCCGCTTATTTGACAGGTGCTATATCAAATGCAAGTACAGTATTATTATTATTGCCTAACCCTCTACCTCTCTGTCTCACTCCTAAACGATAACCAAAAAGTCATGATAACTACCCTACTATCTAAAAAGAACAAAAACATCATCATTTCTTAAAGACTTATTCGACATTGTAATGGTATCACAACTATTTGGTCACCCTGTATATCTCTACTCCATTAACTACGGTTATCTCTGAGTCAGAGGTTTGTGAGTTAAAGCCAAATGTCAGGACTTTGAGCTCATAGTCTAGTGCCAGGATGTGTTGCATTGTCGGAGGTACCGCCCTTCAACTGAGACATTAAATCGAGGTGTCATCTGCCTGTTCAGTTGGCATTAAAAATTCCATGGTACTATTTGCAAAGAGAAGGGAGTTTCTCCCAATGTCCTGGCTAAAATTGGTCATTCACTTCATGGTTGAAGGACATTGCTGTGCACAAATTAGCTGCCATATTCGCATACAAACTACATAGTCACTACACGTTATAGTGAGTCCTGTGAAGTGCTTTGAGGCTACCTCCTGACCTGAAAAGTTCTATATCAGATGCAAGGATTATTACTGTTATAAATCCAATGAAAATCCTGTTGAAGTGCAAGGCTCTATATCAAATGTAAGGCTTTTTATTACATAATAATTCAATTATTGAAGTATAATATCCATTCACTGTTGTGTGCAATGCTACAATATGATATATTTTGGTCAAATCAATTTTATTGCACACAGTTTCATAACTGATCATTTTTTGAAAGAAAATAGACCTTGAGTTCAAAGAAAAAGCTTATTTGTGTAAATACAACCATATTTGAGACTGCTGTGGTATATAATACAGTCTGATGAGCAAGTACAGTCAAATCCATATATATTTGATAAAGATATTGTAAACAAAAAACACATTATTTTCATGTTCCAATTTCCTCCAGACTAAGACCGTTATTTATGAAACATTTGCTTCACTTTTAAAATAATAATAATTCTTACATTTGATATAGCGCCTTCTCACATCTTCAAGATGTTTCAAAGCTCTTCACAGAATACACTATAAAGTAAATTGACTATATATTTTGTGTGCGAAAATGCACTTTTTGGCTTTTTGTTAGAAACAGTTGTGTTTTGTTCAACAGAAATGTTGTAATTGGCCATTTATGGAAAAATGTCAGGAAAACCACATCTGAGGAGATCAGCAAAAATTTTGTAACAAAGAATCCTAGTCAGGTTTGGATGAGACACAGTTGGGTCAGAAAACTCAAGTTCTATGAAAGCAGACAGTTCAGATAGGATAGGCAAAATAACACTCAGACT